AAATCCACGTGTTAGCTAGCATTATATTGGCTTTCGGCTTCGACCAAGAATTTTCATTTCGGTGCATCAGCCTGTCGCAGCCGTTAAAATAAATGGGGTTCATTTTTCTTATGTGAGGCTGAATATTATGAGCAGTTTGGTACACTGCAAATTATTTCACAGGATGGGACTGTATATTTCACAAGAAATTACAGTATTATCACTTCACACGCTTTTACTGTGACATTTCACAATATTATACCGTGTTCAGAATTTTATTGTGAAATGAATGCAGGCGGGGCTGTTACAGGAAACTGCTGTGAATTCAGACTTTTCGAGCTGCGTCATTCGGAGCTTTCGCCTCGCTCATCCCGATAGACGGTTAAGTGACTGTAAGTGTTGAAATGTCACATTTTGTCAACTAAATGACTTTGAAATGACTGTTTGATATAGCAGAGCATGTTATTTAACTGTAACCAAATAGCTAAGTTCTGTTGCTTTGTATGTTTTTGTAGAGGAGTTAACATAAGTTACAAAGACAGGCTGTATGCAGAACCGCCTACTACTGGCAACAGCAGTATGCAGTATGAACTGTATACTGCAAACTGTATGAGGTTTAGTATGTAGTAAGAAAATGTTAAATAGATTTATTTTGCAGCATGCTACACCAGGCTTTGCTAGTTTCCGGTGTTCAAAATCGGAACAATGAGAGGAATATAAAAGTAATTACGCTTAAAACGTATTCTTTTAAAAACATCGTATGTAACAGGGCTGCAGCCGAGCTGTAGCAGATGTTTGCTTCGGTATATTGGTGCATAAATAAGAATTATATAAAATCATGTACTATAACCACAACTGTAACATTACACTAAAAATGTAATGTCTATTTAGAATAATGATAATAATAAAGGACAGCAGTCCCCTTTCGTTCCACTATTGTTGTTTATTTTTTTATCAAAGTGCTTCTAAGTTACACAAGCCTGTCCATCAAGAGCCAGATGTGTCTTTATTTAACGTTACTACATTACTCAGAATGTAAAGACAGAATAACAGCGGAACGAACATGTAAACTGTCTCACAGCTGCGGGTCTTTCCTCTCAGGTTGTTGCTGGACTCATCTGCTGCGTTGGCTGCAGAGGTCTGTGTGGCTGTGAGCTCCGTGAGCTGGCGTGAGGACCAGGGGGCTCCGTGAGCTGACTGGCCGGATCGTTAGCTAACCCCGCGGGCTGGCTCATTAGCTTCCCCCGCTGCATTTGCGGAGCTTCTCAACCCCGAAAACGTTCGAGCACATTCTCGATTCGTCAACAATTTCCCTAAAAAATGCCGATATTTAAAATCTACACAGTTGATTTCTCACCTCAAAACTTTGTGGAATTAGTGATGAAACAACGTATGGAAATTGTAAAACAAGTTCTGTTGTTGTCCCCTAAAGAAAAGACGGGTTGTTGTTACAGGTCTAGCGCTTTGCATTATGGGCCACAGTGCGCGAGGTAGACTGGTCCGATGCATACTGCATATTTTTCCCGAATCAGTACGCCAACCGGGTATTTTTGGCATACTGCATATTTTTCCCGAATCAGTACTCCAACCGGGTATTTTTGGCATACTGCAGATTTTGCTTTTGTTTGCATACTGCTGTGATTCTCAACCTTTTTTGGGCCAGCTCCCCCCTATCTATTATCCAGGTCCCTTACCACCCCCCATCAAAAAAGATGTTTGCAATTTGCCCTGAATATTGTTGATTTTTTAAAAAACAAACAAACACGGAAATGTAACAAAAAAGCCATGTGAAAAGTAATTATATTTAACTAATAAGTGGATTTTCCTCCCAGAAACTGTGTGTGAAGCCAGATACTGTTCTCTTGGATGGGGCACTTAATAAGTGGGGGGTATGGGGGTCCCCCCCAGAAGATTTTGAGCATCAACCCACTTAATTTCCTGCATTCTGGTGAAAATTTTTCCTCCAATTTCTGCCTTTTCTGCACCAATTTATGGTGGCAATGTCTAAAAATTCAGGTGGCAGGTGACAATTCAAAATATATTATTATAATAGAATATAATCTAGTGAGGTTCTCTGACATTCTTATTGCCTTTAAATATTTTTCTCCTGTAGATCAGCTTATTTAATATCATCCCTGCTGAGTCAACACACATGATTAAGTCTTTCCTCCTCTTATGTGGGGAAGTAACCTATTTAAATGTGTTTGTGGCCCCTTTTCATCTCAGTAATAAATGAATCTGTTTTAATTCAGTTATTGACTGGACTTTATTAGCTCATGTGCTCATAACTTATAACTCAGTGTTTCCTAAAGAATGACAGTGTAACTGTGGCGCAGATACAGCGTGCTAGCCTCGAAAACCCAGCTGTATTCTAACATTAACTTAGCTCTCCTTACATGCTTGCTACTAACTTTTAATAGCTGGGTCTCCGACATTGACAGCGTTGTGTTGGACAGATTTGTGCAGCTGTGTTAAGGAAGGAGATCGAGGGACAGATGAGAGAGACGAGCCAGAGGATGTGCTGCGCAAATATGCGCTGCCTGCAGCTCAAATACGAATTTAAATAGGCCTAGTTAAAAGTCTCGTACAGTTGCAGTGGACTAAACTGGCAGGTTTTAATGTGGCAGACCACAGTTTTTTGCAAGTACTTTAAAGTTAAACTTAAAGAAGTCAGAGTATCATCTGTAAAAATTTACCCACAACTGACTAAGTTTAAACTCTTATTGTTGTGAATCTTAAGTGTAAACTCGCCTTAGAATTTCCAACCAACAAACGCCCCCCGAAAGCAGCTCAGCGCCCCCCCTTCCAAAATATTGCCTCCAGCGCCCCCATCGTCCTCAGAACGCCCCTTGAGAAGCACTAGCATACTGTATACTACATACTACATTTGGACCAAATCAGTACATACTACTAGTACAGTAGGCGGTTTCGAATACAGCCATAAAGTTAGTTAACTTAACGTTAGTGGTTAATGTTAACTTTACTCATGGTAGGTTTGAGCACCCAATTTTTTAAACAAGAAATTAACAGACACTTAGTGTTAATTCTAACGTTACTCTATTAAGTTAGTAACGTTAGAAATGCTTTTTCGTCTGAGTTGTTTTCAAGCCTCATATTTCTAAAGGTGTTAAGGTATCCTTTAAGTTATCTGTTAACGTTAGCTTTTCTTAGTGCTAAGAGCCTGTCTTTCCCCACTATATTTTCCCCCACAGCATTTGGTGCAGTGCTTTTTTACGCTGACAAGACCACTGGACAATGAAGTTAACGTTATACGGTAAGCTGTGACCTTAATACATTGACCGTTCTTATCAACCAGAGAAAAATATATTGTAATGGATAAGGGCAAAGATAAAGTTTGACAACTTTAATCTCAAATTAGTAACGTTAGCTTGTAATTTTCTCCCCTGCGGTGTATGCATGTGATACAGAGCAACCGTTGCTTTTCTTGTCAACTGTAAAATGAACTGCGCATGTCCATTGTCTGATGGAAGTTAGTTTTCAAGTCAACGGTCTTGTCTGGAAAATTCCACTGCGGGCAGTTAGAGTGAGTGCTGCTGTTAGACCAAGCGGCACTCATATTTGTTTTTGAAAATGCATTAACTTAGCTTGACAGTCTGAAGAACTAGGGATTTGTAGCTGTAAGATACACGTTTGTAAGAACTCGGGTTATTTGATTTTTTGTGTCTGACGATGTTTGTATTTGTGAGCTAACGTTACCTTACAGCATGGTGACAAGACTGACGTTACAGGGCGGTGAAGTAACTTAAGTTATCTTTCTAGCTAAGTTACACACACTTTCTATTTTAAGATTGACAACCTTCGTAATTTTCTCTGGTGCTGGGTGTGATAGAGAGCAGCCGTTGCCTATCTTGTCAACTGTAAGGAAAACACACAGGGCTTTTCCTGGCTCATAATGGGCCTTTGGGTGGTGACTTTGCTCGACAGTAACATTAACTTAAGCATGATCGGTGCTCGTACAGTAAAGGCAGTGCGATACCTTATGACCGTAATCTATGCATTTTCTTGTTATTTCTGACCATTTGATAAACAAAATATATCCACAACCTGGAGGAGTAAATGTGTAAATTAGTGTATTAATAAATATTATAACATTAAATAGAAAGTATAATGTCAGTACAATTATATATTTACAGTTTACACTTTATTTGGATAGTATTCCTACAGATAGTTTATTAGTTGAGATTCAGCTTTTTTACACAAAACCGTTTTCTGATATTTTCCTATAATATTAATTCCAGTTGGACAAAACAGCAGTTTAATTTTGTGGGTTGTTTTCAGTCATTAAGTTACTGTGCAAGAAAAATGCTCTTCATGGTGGTTAGTCTCTCATTTTTTTTTATGCTGTAATAATAACCGGACATACAGAACAACACGTTCAACATTTCTTAAGTTTGCTGTAGTTCCTCAACCTTTTTGTAATGTCCCGCCTGCTCCAGGCTGTGATTGGTCATGAAGTGACTTTGACGAGCAACTTTAAACACGCATGAAAGGCTCCTGATCTCCCTGCGGAGATTAGCAGGAAGGAGAGAACGTGAACAGGCGAGCGTCACGTAGCACCCAGAAAACCTAATCTGGAGAGGGCAGAGAAGAGAACCGGTGCCGGAGTAAAATGTGAAAGTGCTAGTACCGGTTAATACAGCTTCATGGAGGAGCGTTCAGGCGCAGTCAAACCAACGCAGCAGCTGGTTTATTAATCCAGCGCCAGCTGCATGTGTAAAATACTGCGGCTGTGAATGTGAGGAGAGGTGACTGCTGGAAGACAAGACGTCGTATTTAAGTTTATGTTCTGCTTGTTTGATAAATGGCTATTAAAACACGTTCGGAGGGGATTTGAAATGCTTTTTTCCCCCAATTCATATCATTTTGGCGCTGGTGATTTTCCTTTGGCGCTTGCTAAAAACATCTCTTTGCAGGAAAAACCCTGAACGCATGATTGGCTGATTGGATAATTGCATGAATAAGCAGGTTTACAGGTGTTCCTTATAGTGATAGCTAAATTCTTGGTGAGTGGACTGAGTACTTCATACATAACACATGATCACAATCTAAGTTTTACAATATGTGTACTGACTAAAAAAAAGATAAATCTATGGGTACAAGATATGGTAACAGTTGAGTCTTAATCTTTTCTTATTCTATATTTGCAGGTGTGTGCCACAGCCACTGACATTGAAAGGATGGTAATGCTACCAAGCACACCAAGATAATGTTGATGTCTTCTTAATTTTTTTTTAATGCATTTCACACCATCAAGTCATGCTTTTTTGGTACTGATCCAGCGAGTGTCTCTTTGCTGTGCACACTCATCTGGTAGAACTACACTTTTGTCCTTTATCCCTAACTTCCTCAAAAACATTATCCCTCCAGCTCTTAATCTCCTCCTGGCTAAATCAAATTGTAAACAGTGAATTTGTTTTACATCTTCACATCTATGTGTGGAATTGTGAGCTCTCTGTTGTGGTCTGATCTCAGCTCCAGTAGTTACTTCCTTTTCCAGCGAGTCGAGAACATGTTGAGGTACCTGAAATGAAAATGTCAATATTTAAAATCTGGTAAGGACGCCTCCAGGCACGTCCAGCTGGGAGGAGGCCTCAGGGAAGATCCAGGACTAGGTGGAGAGATTATATCACCACACTAGCCTGGGAACACCTCGGGATCCCCCAGTCAGAGCTGGTTAATGTGGCTCGGGAAAGAGAAGTTTGGGGTCCCCTGCTGGAGCTGCTGCCCCCGCGACTCGACCCCAGATAAGCGGATGAAGATGGATGGATGGTTTTCTGAAAATGGCTGATTCTGATTTTCTTTCTTTCTAAGAACATTAACTAAGAGCATTCACAAATATTTTCATAACTTCTCTTTAAAGAAAAATTATTTTATTCATACTCTGAATCCACACAGGGAAAGCCTGCACCATATTGAGGTAGTCTAGTCAATGCTTGTGCTGACAACAGACGTGCCACAGCGCGTTCCAGAAGCAGCTCTCCACTAGTATGGTGAGTATATTTGAATTTGTTTCAGGTGACATAATGAAGCCCAGTGCATGGATGCTGTCTGCGGAGGGCCAAGTGGTCATAGGACCTCACCAGGACTTCGTCAGTGGTTTGGCTGTCGTTTTCGCCAGCTATTACAATTTAAATTAGAAGTATGCTGAAGGTGCTTCATGCACTCTGGAATTTATCTAAAGGTAAATGTCTACGTTACTATTGTGCTTGAGGGCTTGTTGAAAGTAGTTATGTTTGGGTGTTTGTGTTTGTGAGCAGCCCAGGACCACAGCAGGCAACTGCTAACGTGCCTCCCTGAGAGCTGTATTATAGACTCAACACGTGTCTGTGCTGGAGACCAGAGAGGAAGCCGTTTTAAAAATTGTCCTTGTTCAGTTCTGAGTACTTTTGTAGATTTGAAGTTAATATTTTGTTTGAATTTTAGTTCAATTTTTTACATGCTCCATGCTCCGCCCATTATTGTTTTTCCCTCACAAGGCCACGCCTCAGCACCTATGACAGAATGACAGAATTGTTTGCACTTTGCATTTGCCCAATCGGGGGAAAGCACCCTCACCCCGTATAGCCCCCGGTGCATGCATTACATGCCCCTCTCTGTCAATGGCACAGGCTAGTACCGCTCAGGCTACTCTGCCTAGGTAAATCACACACCTGCACTTTGTTGATTGAAGTGTTTGTAATGAAAATGGTTTTCAGTTACTGTTTCTTTAAATGGCTGGTTTTTATCTGAACCACAGTAATGTCACCTTGTCCAGACAGAGATAAGTTTAGCTCTGTCATACAACAGCAGTGACCCACTGAAAGCTGGGGGGGACTGTTTGGGAAATGCCACCTTTATCATCCTACCTGAATGAAACGGCTTTCCTTGTGTTTATAGGTGTTTTGGGGCATTAATCCAGAGACGGGCACAAAATCGAAGAGACAGCGAGGAATTGATTCATGTTAAACTGGAGGTTACGATGTCTTTAAAATTCAATTGTATGTATATTGCGCCAATTGTTTTATAAAGTAGGTAATTATGAAGTTACAGTGAAGTTACAGTTAGAAGTTACAGTTAAATACATGAAATCTAAAGCAACATACTGCTAAATCACAGTACTCTACTGGTCATTGACTATGAAGTTACAGTTAAATACATGAAATCTAAAGCAACATACTGCTTAATCACAGTACTCTACTGGTCATTAACTGAAGTTACAGTTAAATACATTAAATGTTGCTTTAGACGTCGGCTGACGTACTGCTGACGTACTGCGGTAAGCGTGTTGACTCATCCGTTTCCGGTGCTTGTGTGTTGGCAGCGTGTTGTGCTGCTCTCGCTAAATACCAGTTAAATTTGTTCGATTACTGCGGCCAACTGTCCACTAAACATTTATTCTTACAATAATTTTGCCTAAGCACTCACAGTTCTTTCCATCTTTTAGTGACTGCTGTTCAATCTCATAGTTGTTCTAAAGTTTTGGTAGCTGACGCTACAGTACTTTAGCTCAGCCGTTAGCGACATTAGCTCAGCAGCTAGAGATGGCTTCTCCTTCTCCCTCTCGCTCTCCTACTTTCTCCTGCTCTGTGTGTCAGATGTTCAGTTACTCCTCTGCCTCCTTTAGCAGTAATGGTACGTGTAACAAGTGTAGTTTATTTGTAGACATGGAGGCAAGGCTCAGTGATTTAGAAGTCCGTCTCCGCACCTTGGTAAATAAGTCTTTAGCTACTGTAGCTAGCCAGTCCCCGTAGTCGGTGCGGAACGGCCTGAGTTAGCCTGTGGTAGCCGTCCCCCGGGATCTCCTGAGCAGCCAGGAAGGGGTGGCTGGGTGAATGTCTGAAGGAGGAATAGTCGTAAGCATTCAAAGCCCACGGGTAATCACCAACCTCTTCTCGTTTCTAACAGATTTTCCCCACTCAGCGACACACCAGCTGAGAAACCAACTGATCATTGGCAGCTCCATTTTGAGAAACGTGAAGTTAGCGAAGCCAGCGCCATAGTTTAGTGCAGAGCGGGTGACATTGATTCTTTTGAAACTGCTGGCTAAGGATAAACGTAAATACAGTAAGATTGTTATTCACGTCGGCGGTAATGACTCCTGGTTACGCCAATCGGAGGTCACTAAGATTAATGTTGAGACGGTGTGTACATATGCAAAAACAATGTCGGACACTGTAGTTTTCTCCTGACCCCTGCCAAATCTGACCAGTGATGACATGTATAGCCGCATGTCGTCATTCCGCCGCTGGTTGTCGAGGTGGTGTCCAGCAAACGATGTGGGCTTTGTAGATCTTTGGCAGACTTTCTGGGGAAGACCTGGTCTGATTCGGAGAGACGGCATCCATCCCAGGAGCAGCTCTCATTTCTAGAAATCTGGCCAAGTTTATTAGTGGACCAAATCTATGAAAACCCAGAGTTGAGACCAGTCGAACACACTTCTCTGCTCCTCCATTTCAGGAGTTACTTAGTGAAGATCCTATGTGGACTCTTAAACATCTGGAGCCGGTTGCACCAACAGGGCTTACGCCTGGGCTTAAGGTAAGTAGGTCTTAACTCAGCATTCTAAGTCCGACCTAATAGTTATGACAGTTGCACCATCCAGGCTTAAGTCCTCTTCTCGCTAAGACCGGGCGTAAATCTTACGCCTAGTCAGTAGCAGGCGTAAAGTAAAAATCTAGGAAGTTTCTATAGTAACCACTTGATAACTCAGCAGTAAAGACATGGCGCGCCTTATACACAGACTTTACAATGAGCGGGCTTTTAGATGGGAGAGAGTTATTAGGGACAGAAGCAATCCATTGGACATTTACAATGATGAGGAGCTGATTCAGAGGTTTCGATTTTGTCGGAGAGATATATATGAACTTGTTGAAGAGCTGTCACCCGACTTACAGTTTGTGTCGGATCACAACGCAGCATTGACACCCGCATTACAGCTGTTAATAGCGCTACGTTTTTATGCAAATGGTGCGTTTCAAAACACTGTTGGAGACATGATTAATGTCCACAAATCCACCGCATGTCGGGCCATCCGCAGAGTGTCACTGGCACTGAGCCGTCGCCTTCCACGATCTGCTCACCTCCCCACTGAGGCCGAGTGTGCGGTGATGAAACACAGATTCCTCCGGGCCTCTGACATTCCTGGTATTGTGGGCTGCATCGATGGGACTCACATCCGGATCCAGCACCATCTGATGTCAACCGCAAGGGATACCATTCAATCAATGTGCAGATTGCTTGTGACGCCAATTATAACATCTTTAATTTGGTGGCAAGATGGCCTGGATCTACCCATGACGCACGCATCCTCCGAGAGAGTGCGTTATACCAGGATTTCGAGGCTGGAAGAGTAAATGGGCTGCTTCTCGGTGACAGTGGATACCCACTGAAACACTGCATGATGATCCTATAATTGCTCCGAGGACTGAGCAAGAACGACGGTATAACACCATCCACACCACCACTAGGTCCCTCGTTGAGCGGTGCATCGGAGTCCTCAAGCGCAGGTAAAATTCTTCCGCAGTGTCTGTGCCGCTATCCATGGTGCTGATATAGTGTGGTCACTAGATCACTGAAGACTATATAAATAGACTAGGCCTAGGCTATATAAAACTCGGCAAACGTGACAGATTTAGGTTTACAGTAGCCTAATCATTAATTCTTTTTTCTAGGTTTCATTGTCTTCATGGAGAGATGCGGATGCACCCTGAGCAAGTCTGCACCGTAATAGCAGCGTGCACTGTCCTCCACAACATCTGTGTCACCAAGAGGATCCCTCTCCCTAGGCAACACCACAGCCGGTGCCGGAGGAAGGTGCCGACCCTGTGGACCATGCAGGGCATGAAGATGTCGGTGGACGACTAGTCCGTACACGTATTATTAATGCTTTATAAATGTTATAAACTATTGCTTCACTTAAAATAATTCTGCCATAAAAAATAAGCCACAAAGAAAGTCCAGTAGGTTTATAATAAACTCTTTTTTTAATTTACATATAATTGTCATTGATTCATTGCACACAATTTGCCATTAGGCTTATTTACAGAATTACAAAAGACCGCCCATCCTCTTCAGAAATAGGCGAAGATGACCTGCTTATCTGTTGTTGGAGCAACTGTATTTCTAATGATATTATTTGTTTTTCAAGTTCCAGCTTTTCCTGCTCGGCCTGTAATTTCTTTGTTTCAGCCTCCACTCTAACAATTTCTTTTTCAAGAAGTGTCTGCTGCAGATCTTCCAGCCTCCTCCTCTGTTTCATCGGCGGTGCACCGCTGCTGCCTTCATGAGTATTTTGTGGAGTGACTTGGGCCTCCGTCGAGTCTGAAAATACAGAGAATCTGTCATAGGCCTACTGTTACTGACAACTACTAAAACTGTTATTGGAGGCTACTCCAATATATAGGCTACACACCTTCACAATTCACACTCTCGCTTGAGTGGTCGACATCCATCTCTAGAGAGACAGCAGTTTCTTCCAGATCGGTACCGCCACTTTCCGCACCGACCAAACCAATAAAAGCCGGGGAATCCTCTCCAAAGATATCCACAATTATGGTACTGTACACGGAGGTTTCTGGGGGAGGACCCCCGCCGGTCGGGTGGTGTTTTTTTGAAGACAAATCTTTTTTTGCTTTGCTCAGGAGGTCTTTCCACTTTTTCCTCACATCGCTCTCTGTCCGAAAGCAGCCAGAGTCAGAGCAATCGTTAATCGCCTCCGTTATCTGTTTCCATGTTGTTTGTTTCTTCTTCTTCGTTATTGAGTTTGATTGCTTGGCAGTCAGTGTGTGTCTGTGCTGACTGTACAGCTCAATTAACTTTCGTATCTCAATGTCGGTGAAATTTCCTTTCCTTTTTCTTTGATCATCCATTGAGACGGCTACAAGTTAACAAAACAGCGGAAGATAGTTTACAGCATAACCCAGCAACGCACGCTGCTAGGCAACCGCTATAGTTCTGTGGCCATTCACATGAACGCGCATCGCTAAGACAGGCGTAGTTAAGCCTAGGCTTAAGTTTGGTTGGTGCAACCGACGTTAGGTCAACTCTAAAGACTGGTCTTAACTAAGACCTACTTAGCAGTTAGGACCAGGCTTAGTAAAGCCCTGTTGGTGCAACCGGCTCCAGATCTCTCTCTTCGAAAGGTGTACTAGTAAATGAACTAATATCAGATTATGATTGATTTATTTTGTCTTACTGAAACCTGGCTGGGTGATGGAGAATATGTTAACCTAAGGGAATCGACCCCTCCCAGTCATATTAATACTCACATTCCCGAGGCACAGGCCGAGGAGGTGGAGTTGCAGCTATCTTCCACTCTAGCCTACTAATCAGCTCTAAACCTAAACTAAACTATAACTCATTTGAAAGCCTTGTTCTTGGTCTTTCACACACAAGTTATTATTGTAGGGGATTTTAATATTCATGTGGACGATGAGAATGACAGCTTCAGTACTGCGTTTATCTCTCTCTTAGATTCCATTGGCTTCTCTCAGAGTTTTCATGAACCGACTCACTGTTTTAACCACACCCATGACCTTGTTTTGGTATACGGTATTGAAATTGAACATTTAATAGTGTTCCCACAGAATCCCTCTTTATCTGACCACTGTTTGATAACTTTTGTGTTTGTATTGCTGAACTACACGCCATTGGGCAAAAATTTCTATACAAGATGTCTGTCTGATAGTGCTGTAGCTAAATTTAAGGATGCGATTCCATCAGCTCTAAATTCATTATCAGATCACAAAGTAACAGAGGACTCCTATGCTAATTTCAGTCCCTCCCAAATCGATCATCTTGTTGATAGTGCTGCAGGCTCGCTGCGAATGACACTCGACTCTGTAGCCCCTCTAAAAAAGAAAATAATAAAACAAAGACGGTTAGCTCCATGGTATAATACGGAAACTCGAAAATTAAAGCAAATATCGTGGAAATGTGAGAGGAATTGGCGTTCCACCAAACTGGAAAATTCTCATTTA